TTTAAAAAAAAAAAAATATTATAGCCACTTATTAAGTGTTAATTTCATAATAGGTCTCTATTTTCTAAAGACAGTATTTCCCAATGTCATGTAGTAAACTAATTTTGATCTGCGCCATAAAGAATAATTCTTTAAACAAACTGCTAAGATTGCACTTTATTATCCCTCATACCATTTAAAACACTTTACTACAATTTACGTCTTGGGAAAAGATGGAGAACCTAGTTCTTTTCCTGTTAAATTTTGAGTGTTTCCTTATTTATACTTCTTAGTATGTTTTATGTTCCTTAAAGGTACTAGTTTAGCTCTAATTTTTCTTTGGAACAAACTCCAAAATATACGTAGAGTATATTATCTCAGGAATTAGTTGTCTGTGCTAATGAAGGAACTTGAATCTTCCAATTGGTTTAACTTGCTGTGGTTAATTCAAGTTAGTTTAATCAACTCAGATCCATTAATAGGTACCTAAATTTGGCATTGGTTCACACTGATAATTAAATAAATATATATGTATTTGATGATCACTTTATGTGTGAAATATGCATAAATAAACATTTTTTTAATTAAATATTTATTTTTTTAGGTGTAGATGGACACAACACAATGCCTTTATTTTTATGTGGGGCTGAGGATCAAACCTGGGTCCCACCTGTGCGAGGCGAGCGCTCTACCACTGAGCCACAATCCCAGCCCGATAAATAAACATTTTTAATTTGGTTGTTTAAAGAGGTCTTGTATAATGTCTTTAATTTTTAGTCACAATAAGTGTACACATTAGWTGTGATTCGTGGTGTTCCTTTAGTTATCTCTCCTCCCCCTTCTGCCTGCACAGAGTCTTTCATGGTATTGAAGAAATTAGTACCAATTTCTGCCTAGTCTTGAAAAAGAAAAATAGTTTGCTTTTTATGTTCTATATTAGTCTTTCCCTGTTTGACAAGTTCTGAAGACCAGTGAATGAATGCTAGGAGACACTTAATAACATTTTATACTATATATATATATATATATATATATATATATATATATATACACACATAAATTTGGCCAAATGAAATAATTTTTTTTCATAGCAGTAGAAGGGAGCCAACATAGTTCAAGAATATTTTGTCTTTAAAAGTATTAATACATAAATGAGAACTTTTGGGGTGATATTTTTCTGTTATTTTGTATAAACTAGCACATGTCTKTAAAAGCATTATAATTTGTAGAAAATTTATAATTTTCTTTTCCTTTTTTCTAGGTTACGGAAAAACCTAAAATCCCTAATTATTGTGCATCCCTCTTGGTTTATCAGAACACTCCTGGCTGTTACAAGACCATTTATTAGGTAGTTTTATTCATGTAGAAAAAAATTCCTTATTTAAATTTCTTGTCAGTACTCATAGTCAGAAATATTGAGGTAATTGTTTTTATTTTTTTTCATAGCTCGAAATTCAGCCAAAAAATTAGATACGTCTTTAATTTGGCAGAACTAGCGGAACTTGTTCCCATGGAATATGTTGGCATACCAGAATGCATAAAACAGTATGTTTTGTTTTATTCCTTTAATTGTATTGGATCTTTATATTTTGATGTGTAAGATAATATTTTTCAATATTTCTTACTACACGTATTTCATAACAGCTTTTTAAAGACTGGTTACAATCTAAGAGATGATTTCCTGATAGGTTAGTACTAAAGAACATTCCCTGTACTTAAACATGTTGCTCTCCAAATTTGAGTAAACTCATCATAGCATTTGAAAAATCACATTGCTAAATAAAAAATAAATTATTAATTAAATCAGCCTAACCCTAATACTTATCAGTGACTGGAATTTGTTCTGTTTACCAGATTCACTTATTTCCATATAGCTTCTAAAAAGAATTGGTATAAGTCTAATCTGAGGTTTGGTCTTTTTAATATGTCTATGCCAGATTTATTAAGTTAATTTTTACCTTCTACATAATATGTTCAGTATTTTTGGTCTTTCCTGGAGACTTAATATGATTTAATTTTTAGTCTGTTTTGTTTGTTTAAGTTTTTGTTAATCTCATAATGTGTATTTACTGAAGTAACTCTTCCTTACTAAGGTATGAAGAAGAAAAGTTTAAAAAGAAACAAAAAAGGTATATGCACACCTTGACTGGGTTGCATCTAGACTAGTCCATTTGCATTGCACAGACTAACTCTTCTTTATTGGTTGGTTAGCTTGTAGAGAAAGATAATAGCACTTGTAAATATAAATACATCCCAACATCCAAATATAGAAAATCCAGAGTCCTAAAATTGAATATGATTGGATTCACCCTGTTTTAATACCAAATATAATGCCAGTTAGTAATTAAAGCCCCTCTTCTTTTGTTACTGATCTGAACACTATTGGTRAAACCACAGAAATTACTGAGAATGCTATTTAAAATAACCAATACTTTTAAGATTATCTGTTTCATTCCTTTCTTTAAATCTTAGTGCTTTGAAATATGTATGCAAACTTTCTTAAGTAATCAAATTTGTTTCTTGGGGTTGATTATATTTGCAATGCAAATACTCTATAGCTAACCAACATTGATTTCCTTGTGTGCTTAAATTAAATAGCCTGCTAACCAGTCAAATTGTACATGTGGTAAAATACCTGAAAGTTCAATGTACCATTTAACAGTTAAACACTCTGCTTTCCATTTTAAATTTAATTTTGAATACTTTTGCTTTGAGCATAACAAACTTATCTGTTAATATCTTGGCATAGAAGATGAAAAGGCAAGGTATAAAATAGTTACCACTTTATAAAGTAGTTTAGAAAAGTAGATTTGGGATCTAATTTGTTAGATCTAATTAGATCTAATTTGGATCTAATTTGTTTATAGATTTTWAAAAAATATTTACATTAGCAAAACATGGTTTAATAAATCTTCAGAATTAAGATGAGAGGTTATCATATATGTATTAATCATTTTGACAAGCTAAACTGGATCCAGCTATAAGTAACGTACTAGAACATTCTTAATTTTGAATATTTTTCCATTCTTTTGGTGAGAATTCAGTTGACCATGTGATAGAGTCATAGGTTTATATTTCTCTATGACACTTTGCAAGAGTGTGAGCAGTGTTTATATATCATGCTGATTTCTCATTCCTTTCTTAAGCATTGCTTTGCATTTGCCGGACAAGTGGCTGGAATTTAAAATAAAATCTATAATCGTAGAATGTTTTGAAGCCAGCTACTTCCTGGATTTTAAAATGAATTGCTTTTGTTGATGAAATGTGCTGTATGATATCTTTTTWAAAGTTTTTAGTGTTTAATCAACTGTCACGTAGTTTCAGTAGCAGAAAAAAAAATGGGACTCATACTTTTTTATTTAAATGCATTGTTTGAAATCTATTACTATTATTTTGATTTTGTTTTTCACCTTTGTTTGTGTCCAACCTTTAATAATAATATTACATATATCTTAAGTAATTTAATTTTTATACAGAGTTTCTTTAGCCTTAAAAAATAATAAATCATTATCAGTTTGAGAATAATAAAATTCAATTTTAATACAGAAAATTGTTCTTAAAGTCAAAATAATGGCTAGGTATGAGACCTTATGTAAGGCAATATCTCCATGTTGTTAAGTATTGGTGTTTAAAAGGGTATTGAGTATCTTGAGTATTGAAGTACAGCAGTTTTAAATGTCTCAGATGTTTTTTTCAAATAACTCCTTGCCAGTGTGGCCAAGTAGCTAGGGATTGTAAAACTGTTTCAACAGCTTAAAAATAAAATAATTATGATTATCAGATCTTTCAAATATTTATAAAGAATATTTTTAAATGTTAATCCAGTTTTACAACAGACCACAGCTTTTTATTTGTTTGGTACTGGTACAGAGCTACACCCCCAGCCCATTTTTATTTCTGAGACAGGATCTGGCTAAGTTGCAGAGGCTGGCTTCAAACTTGGGATCCTCCTGCTTCAGACTCCCAAGTCTGTAGGTTTATAGGCATGTACCACCAAACCCAGCCAGGCCAGAGCTTTTAGATCTGATTCACTAATATTCAGGTGATCATAGTAATGGTCCTAATGATCATAGTACTGGAAACAAGTATGATAATCTCTTCCTGCATCATACCAGATTATTTTAAATGTCCAAGTTATTCAAATTACTACATATATGAGAGTAATAGACTGTTGTATATTGTCTTTAAAGGGTTGTCTATAATTATGCAATAATTATGTAATCCTTCAAATTTCCATGTGCCTAAATATTTATACTGCCTCTGTTCAACAACCACTAATCTCTAATTTAGAGATTTTTTTTTAATGTACATTTAGGTATTTCTTGGTTTTAAATTCTTAACAGTTTCTTATTATCAGCATAAGTGAAAGACATTCACTAAGTGTACCAATAAATTTTGGAGAATGATTAGGTTTCAATAAGCATGCATTTTTTGCTGAASTTAAGATCATATAATCATTTAATGATGATTTAGTGGCTTTAGTGACACTTTAATATTTCTTTGTGAATCCATGATGTCAGGCATGTTAGGCAAGCACTCTACCACTGAGCTAAACCCCCATCTCCCTTCATATTTCAGTAAATAAAATCATTTTTGAGGGAGTTATTTTTCATGTTGCCAGTCTCTTAGCCCTTGAATCCCTGCTGCAGCCACACTATGTCATGAACTTTTAAGGAAGTTTATGAGTTTGTATGTAAAGTATTTTATAGTCTTTAAAGAAACTGTAGTCATGTTTCTTGCCAGTGTCCTGTCTTTTAAAAATTCTCTTTTCTGGTTGGGGAAAAAATGTTTGGTAATCTTTTTCTGTGTCTGCTTCTTTGCACAGCTTTGTTGTTGTTGTTTTTAACAGAATAATATTTTATGTTAAAAGTAGCTACTATTTTTAGAAAGGTTTGTTTAGTTACTGGTACCTCATTTTCTGTATATTTTGTTGAACAGAGTTGATCAAGAACTTAATGGAAAACAAGATGAACCAAAAAGTGAACAGTAAGTTTGGCATCTAGTTCAAACAAGACTGAAGAATGTGCTGATGAAGCAATGCTCTCTTTTGCATTTATAATGCATTTATTGGCTTGCATTTTTATGTAATCTGTTACAAAATTGACTTTTTCTTAATGGACTTTTGTACAAGGGGCTATTCACTGCTGTATTGGTTTGCAAATCTCTCGAATTTAGCTCTTTAATGGTTAATTATATTGTAATCATTTTGTATTTTATATTGCTAATTAGCAGAGAACTACACTTTATAAAGCAGTTTTTGCATTTGTTTATTGAAAGATGATGCATTTTCAGGAAACTATATGTATATATAGCAAAGAAAAGAAATAATATATATTTTTATGTTTTTGAGCAAAATTTTTTAATGTATACCTATCTTGTAGAAGAATAGGCAGGTAAATAAGATCATGATTTTATAAAGTACACGTTAGATGTTTTGATTTTGTAAATGGTTGAATACATTTCCTGGGTAACTTTAGAAAATTAAGTTGCTCTAAGGCAAGGGTCAGTTAAACTGATTCTCTCAAATATCCAAAGATCATGTACATAATTTAAGTAGATAGTACCATCCCAAGCTTTTTTTTTTTCCACTTAATGTATATTGTTCCTTAATTCAGAAGCACAAATACAAGTGCATTGTACACTTTTTCCTCTGAAAACAAGTAAAAAAGCCATTTTTAGAACTAATAGGTTAGAAGTTAGGGTTTGTACATATGTAAATATGGGATATTTTATCTTCTGGCCCAAAGTCAGAATTGTTATAAAAATTTTTGGATTTGTTCACTAATGTGAAATAAGCTGTGTGTCCAGGGTATCACTCCCCAGAATTCGTGTGAGTGCTTTGTAATATTGCAGAGAATGTGATGAGTATTCACTGTCACAATTTCTGTAGAAACAGGGGCTGCTTTTTAAACTGCTCTCACTGTGGGCACTTTACCAAAATACTTCCATATCAATTATTTGAACTCAGTAGTAGTTTGACCTAGTCAAGTATGATGTACTTTCAAGTTTCTGTTGAATCGAGTTTGACAATAATAGACAATAATACTGTAAATTAAGTTAATTTTGTATGTCTTAGAGCATCATTATATTGCGCTGTTTGGGATGAAATATTTGATAAGTATGTAAACTCCTTGTTACATTTGGTAAGTACTATTATATTGAAATAAATTGTATTTGTGCCTCCAAACAGAGCTTAATTAACCACAGAATCATTCTAAAACAACAGGTTTGTCCAGAATTTTCATAAACTTGAGTGACATATACTTAGTAAATTTAATATTCTCCATATTTAAAGGTCATGCTGTCCAGCATGTCCTGTAAGCTATTTTACAAAAAGAGAAGGGTAGAGTAGCAAAATTGAAGTCGATTTGTGCTTAGCTTTTTAAGATTTATTCTCTTCTGTACTGATCATACAATCATGGCTTTACCATTGTCATTTTCTTAATATAAAGTGTCTGCTATAAAAGGGGATTTTCCTTTACTTTTTGTCCTCATCAGTCCTAAACTTGGCATGCTGACTTAAGTCCAGTTATGGGAGATGCTAGAGGATTCCTTGGATGAAGCATTCTTCAACAGCCTTTTGACTGGGATCCAGCAGCTCTAGACAGATCCTTTATTAATGTCATTACAATGAATTAAGCCAAAACCATTATTCTTGCTGAAATCTTAGAAACACTTTGTATTGAAGAAATAAACTGACAATAACTATTCAGGCATTCCTTCAGAATTTGGGGATTATGAATAAAGATGTTGGATTTAATTGTGGTTAGATAACACTTGTAGACAATTTTAAGTAGTCTTTCATCTGTGTGTCTCAAAGTGGACTGGGCTTTTTAATAGATGGTTTTGCACCACATTAAGTATTTGGCTCTTCAGTTTCAAAAATACACAATAATTTTCACTCAATTCTTTTATTGTGTTTATTAACTTATTTTTGCAAAAATTGTTCCTAAATATATATTGTTGCAAAATGGTCTGTTTCAATTTTTTTWAAYAACAGAAGTAGCCTATTTGCTGTCAGAATATTAAAATTCAGAAAGAACAATGACATTTTTCCATATTTGATTTTAATTTCCATTGCTGATTGATATGAAAGTACTTATAATTTATTAACTTTCTGCCAAGGTCATGGAACTAACTTAACTGGTTTRAATATTCTGTCACTGGCTTTGGCTCTAAGTACACCTTTTTTTTTTTTTTTTTTTTAAAGAGAGAGTGAGAGAGGGGAGAGAGAGAGAGAATTTTTAATATTTATTTTTTAGTTCTGGGCGGACACAACACCTTTGTTGGTATGTGGTGCTGAGGATCGAACCCGGGCCGCACGCATGCCAGGCGAGCGCGCTACCGCTGAGCCACATCTCCAGCCCCTCTAAGTACACCTTTTTAACCAAAAGTTTCTCTTAAAAAAGTATGAGGTAATTTGATCCTCTATTCTGCTTTGATTATAGTACTAAGCAAGCACCAAGGAGAGACATGATACCAACCCTACATTTAAGCTTTTAATAGTTTAACTCAAGGGGTTAGGAAGAAAAATGAAATAGGATTCTAATAGAGTCTACCAGTGTTATTGAAAAGAAGGGAAACCTTTATAAAGGAATAAAGATTTAGCTGTTAYCGGAGATGCCTTGAATGTGTCTCTCCTAAGGAAAGTACTATATATATGGCAGCTGATTATTTGTATCCAGCAGAAAACCTATGGGCTATGCACAATGTATGAACAAGACTAGATTGAAGGAGGATAAAGCTGGTAAAACCTACAAATAGAATTCATATTTTCCTCTGCTTTTTCTTTTCATATAGAAGCAAGTTTGAATCCTGGCTTAGTAAGTAGAGTGCTCAAATTAAAGTTTAGAACCATTATTTCTGGTTTTAAATTTGATAAACCTTAGTTTTCCATAAGGGACATCACACTGCACTGAATACTGAAATCTGGTTAACAAATAAATATAGCTAGAATTTCATCAACTGCAATTCCAGAATTAAAAAAGGTAAAGAGTTTGTCTCTTAATAGACTTCTTTATTAAACAGTATTAGCTGTTTATATGAGTGCTCAGAGAATTTGGAAATGTGTTTGATTTAATGTAAAAGTGGCTTTTTAAATTTCTTCAGTTGATAGTTAAATTAGCATTAGAACTTAACTAGTACAACAAGCCAGTTTCTTGATGAGGTTAGTAATATTGTATGTAAGATGACACAGTACCTTCAGCCTTCCCTTTCCTGTATGCTAAATAGAAAATTATTAACATTGCTCAATCAGATTGCAGGCCGGGATAGGATGACACTAGAGATTGGCTACACCATTCCATTTTGTTTTCATGCCTTTTTCCCCATGTACTTGAAAAATGGATTACAAATAAATCTCAGGAATGGAGTAAATGAATTAATGTACTTAAAAGGCCTGTTTTGCAATAGGAGAGGTTTTTTTCCTAATTTTTTTAACTTTATTTTATTTATTTATTTATCTATTTTATGTGGTGCTGAGGATCGAACCCGGTGCCTCAGACATGTTAGGCAAGCGCTGTATCACTGAGCCACAGTTCTATCCCAGAAGAGTTTATCTTRTCATAGGGAATGGGAATGGTGCAGTTTGAGTTGCTAGGAGAAAGTGTGGAGAACTTAGTTGCATGAGAAGGCTAACTGGGGAGAAAAGTGAGGTACTATCTACTGGATATTCTAAATTAGTACAAAAGAATTACCTGGGGGAACTCCCCTTCCTGAGATTCTGAATGAATTTAAAATCAGATCACTGGGGAGGCCTAGTAATGTAACTTCTTTAAAGTCCTAAATGGTAATTGAAAATAGTTTGTTGAATAGCAAGGAGTGACTAAAATTTGAAAGGACAGCTTTGTTGCAATTATATATTTTTTTTGAGAACTAAATGAAAAATGAACAACAAATTAAGCACCAGGTGAAAATCAAAAGAGTTCATTGCTTTCACATAACTAGAGTGTGACATGCCTTTATGCTTCAGATAACTATCTTACATTCTACAAATGATTAAAATGTTTGCATCAGTATTTTTCTGCATTTTCACAGTTTGACAAAGAAGGAACTTGAAAAATAATTACCAGCTGCTACTCTGCACTTTTTGAATATCGACTTAACAGTTGCTTAATTGTTTACATAAACTTAGCTAGTAAGTAATGGTGTTTCAGAGTCACTGATTTGCAAAGTCCTTGGGGCACTCATTATATTCATTGGAATGATTCAGTTTGTTAGATACTAATTGACTTTGATATAGTTCAAAAATATTTTTAATTACCACAAGTTCACAATATAATGTGACCTTTTCACTATTAAGATCATGATCTCATTTTTTTTTTTTTTTTTTTTTTGTGTGTGTGTGTGGTGGTGCTGGGGTTTGAACCCAGGGTTTGTGCATGCTGGAAGAGCACACTACCAATGAGCTTATCCCCAGCCCAGGATGATGTTGACTAGCTTAGTACTGTCATTTCACAGTGTGAGAAATTCAGTTCTGAGGTGTATGTGCAAATTGTTGATGTGTTTCAGGTGAGAAATAACTCGGTCGTGATTTGCTAAGAAGATGTAATATTTTTTTTTTCCTTTGACTTGTTAGGAGTACAACAACTTGTGTCCTGATATGTTGCACATATTTTTGCAACATGCATGAATTTAAATAAATTAATTGGAATGAATTTGTTTTTCTCTTTCATTATGCTACCATTTTTTTCACTTAAATATCTAATTTTCAGATACTCTTCTTTATGTAGTCTGGGTACTTCCTATTCTTTTGGGAGTGAAAAATTCAACCAGCTTTAACATTTAAACTATAATTAAATTTTGCGTTTGATCATTTAGAATTACTTTAATTAATAGGGAATACAAAGATGAGACAGAACAGCTTTGTTGTGGGAATGAAAATGGCATAAATAAAAAAATAATAAACCTGTTCAGAGGTTCCAGTTTGTCGCGCTTGTTTTTGAACTTTATCTCCTTCATCAACTCAGCCACTTACTGGCAATTTGCTGTGCACATAACTGCTAAGCTTAATGCAATTAGGATTTGATACGCCCTGATGGACACCTAAAGGAATTTGGTATTATTACGCGGACTTGAAATTTTGGAGTATTTGACATGCATATTAGTCACAAATTTTAAATAGTGTCTCCCAAATTAAAATTCTTAATCACAAACTAAAATCTTGCCGGTTTAGATTAATTGCCGCCCTATATTGAATAGTTAAAAGACGCCCTGATATAATCTTCAGAATTAGTCTCCAATTTAGTATTTCAAAGTCTTCAACAGTATTACACTGAACATAACCCAGACGTAAAATGGAAGTGCCCTACATTTTTTAAATATCGCATCTAATAGTGGAGATTCTTATTTAAAAATTATCTTATGAACTAATTCGTACACCTGGTGAACTGCTCAAATGGTAGATTCACCGCCGCTGCAGGGTTTGAAAGCCCAGCCCTAATCTCAGTACTCCCATCATTTCACAAAGTTTGAGCGGCGCGCTGAGCCGGGGTGGGCGGTCCCTAGCGCCCTATGCACTTCCGGTTCCGCGATCGCTTCCGGGTCGTCGGCCCAGCTCTGCGGTTTCTGCGGCGTCTGAAGAGGTGGTCAGCGCAGTGGGCACCTCCAACCAGGCTTCTGGCGGCGCCGCTTCTGTGCGTTCCCCAGCTGGAAGCGCCTTGCCCGCAGGTAGTGGGTGGGCTGGGTTGGGTTAGCGCGGGAAGCCTGAGCCGCGCCCTCTGTCGCCCCCACAACAGGCTACGGTTGGTTGGGTGGTCTCCAAGGGTCACTTGGAGGTTTCGTGGTTCCCGGGGCCCGGAGCGGCTCCTTACTAACTCCGCGGCTGGTGCCAGAGAAGAGGGAGAGGCGGCAGCACGCCACCCCACCTTGATGCCAGCTAAACGGACCTGGGGTGGTGGTCAGCTCAGCACCCTGTTTTTAGCCGACTGAGTTAAGTCTTAAAGCGTCCAGGTCAGCGGCGTGTGGGTTTTGCCGAATTTCGAGAAGCATTCTTTAAGAGTCTCCTTACTGTGTTTCGTCGCGTGAGGTCTGCCTTCCAACTTTCCTCTTGCGAACTCTGACAAAGGAACCAATTTTAACTGGATGGTTTAGTCAAGAAGGTCTCAAACTGATTGYTCGAATTTGAAGACTTCTAATTTTCTAAACTACAAAATGAGAAGGGAGTACTAAATTTCTGTAGCTCATACCACATTTCAAGGATTTGAACACTAGGAATTTTTAGAATCTAAGATCATTAAAACAAATAATGTAACAAATGCTTAAACACTTGATAATTGTTTTCTAGTTAATTCTCAGCCATAAAATGGGGTGTGACAAAAATTCTGTACTCATAGTTTGAAAATTTTTATCTCCTTTTGGGACTTTTTCCCTTCACACGTTATATTTACTGAAGTTTACTTTCTTTTATTTATTGAACATATATTTTATTTGGCTCCCATAATATGTGAGATACTGTTCAAGATGCCCAGTTTACTTCAGAGAACAAAACAATCTGTGCCCTGATGAAATTTACATACAGTTGGATGCAGAAAGTGAATATGCATTGAGTAATATTAATTTAAACTTTCAGAAAGTCATGAAAATTGAGCAAGAAAGGGCCTGGGGGAWGTTTTAGAATGCCTCTGGGAATTAGTCTTTTAAGTATGATGGTCAGTTTCGGCCTTATTGAGTAGGTGCTTTTTGAGAAAAGTCGAGGGGTTTGGAGAGAATTGGCCAAGTGTCTATGTGGGGAAGAGTATTCTAGGCAGAAAGAACAGCCATCAAAGATGCTTTCAGGAACATACCTGTCATGCTCAAGGAATTGAAATGAAGCTATTGTTTGGAGAGGGATAAACAAGGTGAAGATGAATAGTTGATAAAGACAGGGAGATAATARATAACCAAATTATTGTAAGGGCCCTTGGAAG